GTCTGTCTGGATCCAGGGAAGCGTGACTTTTTCCCCATTTCCTGACTGGCCTTCGTTCCTGTAGGCAGCTAGTATCACCATTCCCATTTTCTGTCTGTAATTCCATTCTGTATCCTTTCTACTATGAAACACCTCAACTCAATCAAATTCACTCCTGCAAACTCTTATAACTTCTGCAGCTTGTGTCAGATATCTGGGGCCCACTGAGCAAGATACAACTTTGGTTTTAAGGCCTCCTGAAGGCAGCCCTACTCAAGGAATGTGAGGACAACTTCTCCTGTAGTGGATTTCCTGACATAGGATTAGACTGATAGAGGAAGCATCTTCGAGGGCAATCAGTCCTGCCCAAGGAGCGTGAAGATAGCTTCCGTTGTAATCAGGCAAGAAAACTCGAGGAGGCTCAGCTCACCTGGGCTGTATGAGGAGGTTTAAGTCCCTACTATGTCTCTATAGACAAAATCTGGTGAATCCCAGTAAAAGGAATCTAAAAGTAATCAGGCATATTTGCTATAGGTTTTGCCTGTATTTGCTATAGGATTAGCTGGGTTTTGGCATCTTCTAAGAAGTAAATTTTCTGAGAAATTAGAGCATGTATAATCAAGGCATGAGCATTCAAGCTAACAGGTAAGTTAGAAACCTTTTTAAAGGAATAGCAGTTGTAACCCACTGGTGGTAGACCCCTTTATAGAATCTGGCAGTTTGCTGTAAGTTCCTCTAGCTTTAGTCACAAGAGGTCACACCTGTATTAACTATGAGCATGAAATACCTGAGTTACATTAGAAATCAACCAGACGAACTTACACACTTCATGAAATATATAGCATTAAATCAGATTAAACTAATGTTCTATTCAGTGTTGTGGATATGGCCCCCATTGTAAGCAAGGGGCACTGAGGGATTTTTCCTTTTAACACCAAGGCTGAATTTTATGTCACAAATACAAAACCTGGCTCTATCTATAGGCCCAGAGCTATTGAACACTGAGTAGTCACTGTTTTTAGAACCTTTTTATGCTGACAAGATTTTATCTGTCCTCAGAAATCTGTTTTAACTAGTGAAATACCTTTTTAAGTCTTATGCATGAACAGTATATATTACATGTGTAAAAAATCAGTCTCAGCATCATTTTGATTAGTAAGCAACCTGAATTATATACTGCAGTATCTTGTCAGTTACAGCTAAAGTAAAATGTCTTCTGAAGTCCGTTTCTATTGAGGTATGATGACTGGAAGGAAGGTCAGGGTTGGAGAAGGACAAAGAGATCTGTACCAATGTCCAGCAATAGGCTGGGTTTTCCTTTAGTCATGATTACTCAGGGCTGTTCTGCGGAGGTGACAGGTAGAGATAACAGTCTGGCCAGAGGGAAGAGACAGGCCCAGCGCCATTTAGTTCTAACCATCTGGAAAGCTGAGTCTGAGCTCTGGGGCCTGTACCTAAGAGTAGCCAGCCATATTCTTAACAGATCAGATATGCCTCAGTTAAGTTACTTTGGTAATACTTTATTTATGATTTAGGCTTAACACTAATGTTTTTTATAGTAATTGTCTATTAATTTAACATAAAAATTTTATGTAGAAATGGGTGACATCCCTGATACACTTTTGCATTTATCCCTACTTTGAATTTTATGAATGCCCTTCAGGGTTACCATGGGGGCCTGATGAAGTTCACATATTTCCAGAATGACGTAATCCCAGAAAGAAGCTTCTTTAATTCAACATGAATTTGTTAAGTATACTTGAAGCTTTATAACTGCAGGCAAGATTTAAGATTATGGTGTTTTGTCCTTGTTTTGTGGCACTGGCGATTGCACCTAGGGTCTTGACACAGAGTCACATCCCCAACCCTTTTAAGTTGCGCTGGCTGGATTTGAACTGTGATCCTCCTGTCTCAGCCTCCTGGAGTGCTGGAATCACAGAAGTGCATATCACACCTGGCTGTGATTGTGTTTTGATGGTGCCTGACAGTTGCCTTTAGGATAGTCTTGACAGAACTCAGACTTAACTTCCTGTGTCCTTGTATTCTTCTGCAGTTGTACAAGTGAGTCATATTCTGGGAGAGTTTGATAACCACTTTAGTCCTATTCTTTCTGTACAACATCAGTGAATAAATAGGCGTGACTTCCTTTTGACCAAGAATAATTTATCACTGTAACTTCTTTTCAGAATAATTCACCTGGTAATATTGGGTTGGTTGCTTAATTAAGCTCTCGACAAAGATGTACAATAATTAGTGTTTTCTGTGGTTTATTTGCAAATGATAGAAATCACAAATACAGAAACAATGAGTTCAGCTTCCTTGTGCCTGTGAATATTAATGTTATCTCAAGGTAAACAATACAGTGAGAACTCCAGCAGGCTTAAATCGGAACACACTGTCCCATACAGTTGAGAAGGGCAATGAAAAGTAGGCCCTAGTAATAAAACTTTTTTTTAATCCTTCCAGCCCTTCAGCTTTAGTACTGATTACCTGATTAGTAAAAGTCTTTTTAAGCATTCTTCTACTTTCTTGGTACAAGTCACAGTCTCATTTTCTTTTTGTTTCCCGATTTTAGGTAGACAGTGGTACCTGTTTCTACTGAGGTACACTATGATTGTTCTTGGTGTGATGAAACTGCATTTTATGTTGTGTGACTTAGATTTGTAAGACTGTTAGGCTTTGAACGTGGAGATGATAAGAACTGTGAAAACGTTGGAGGAAAATATTGTAGAAGTATAGCATAAAATCACCTACAGAGACATTGGGTGGTTGTGGCCAGAAGTAGATCACTTGCTTTTTCTTTTCTTTTTCTATTTCACTGCCTATTCTAATTTTTTAATATCTACTACCATTATTACAGCCTTTTCCTAAAGGGTAATTGGTTTTCTGCTATATAAAATATACTCTGTCAATAGTAAAAGATTTGTTTCTTAATACTGTTCATTAGCTAAAGTGAATAACAATTGAAATCTAGTTTATAATTAGCCAATTGTTTAAACCATTTGTTGCAGTACATAAACAGCTTGTATATATATGACTTTCCTATTTGCTCACAACATCGGTGGGAGTAGAAGAGCTCGCCACTGTCCTTTGCATTTTCTCCTCAGGACATTTTAAATCTCAGCCCTATAACTCAGTGTTCTGCAAGATTTGGGAGTCTATAAGAGGGAGATGCCATGTGAAAGCTAGTGGCATGGATTAGTATAGTTTGTGTCAAATTTTTATCTGAGAGGAAGTAGAAAAATAATTAATTTTAGAAAATTTGAGAGAAGAGCTAATTCCATAGTAGTTTCATATATTTAAAATGAATTTAGTGATATATAATATGACTGTGGGATCAAATTCGGCCTGTTTGTCTCTCTTGTAATAATTTTGATATTGTTTTCTAACATATTTCTTTTTCTATTGTTTAGTAATGAATATAGTAAAAAAAAAAAAAAAAAACCTGTACCAATTCCTAGCCGCAGCACTGTATTTGTTGAATTCTAGAAACTCATCCACTCCTCGTGAATTTCGCTGTTATTATTGCTGCAGAAAGGTTGCATGAGAAACAGTAAATCGGTTAGCAGAGAAGCTGACTCATGAAAGCCCAGGGTGTGAATTCTTTTTTTCCAGTACAGGTAGCCTCATGAAAGTAGCAAAACTCACAAGGCAGTTTAGTTACATAGGGTTTTTAGTCACCTTTTTCATTATTTACCATAAATTATTGAGTGTCATTATAGTCAGCACTACGCTGATGAAAAATTCACCTTTCAAGATGAAACAAAGGCCTCAACTTGTAGCATTTGCTATGCTCCTTCCTTGGCTGGCTTCAGGCCATGTGAAGTCACTGACCATGGTACTGGGGAGAAATAAGCAGAAGCCCAGCTTATGTAGGCTTTGCATTGTGTAGCTGTAATAGGCGTAAACTACCTCAAGAACAGTAAAACAGTTCCAACTCCCTGCTTGCTTAATATTCAAGTTCTTGTGAGGGCAGCAGAATGAACAGTAAACAAGTAGACAATAATTTGTGGTCATTGTGAATTCTTTGCAGCAGAATAAGATAAGGGATCAGGTTTCTATTTGGATTGGCTTTAAATTCTTTTTGCTCTATAATTACATAAAAGTACAACATTGCTCTTAGGAAGTAATATTGAAGTATTAAAGAGTAATGGGGTAGGTACAGGTAACCTCCTTGAAATAATTTAGAGCAAAATAAATGTTCATTCATGGATGTTTATGGAGAGGAAATGTTAAACATGTGACAAATCTGAATAAAAGGGAAACAGGAGTTACTATATTATTCTTGTTACTTTCCTTTTAAACTTGATGGAAAATGTGAGCAAAGGCATATTGCCTTGCACATTACATAAGTGCTTTACATGTATGTTCATGTGATTTTTCATTGCTATTCATATTTTGAGATGAGGAAACTAAGGCTTCAAAATGGAAAGTGCTTAGCATGGGAAGGAAGAAAGGCAGGTATTTTCACCTGCCTGTAGATCCATCAGGTCTTCAAACAAAATGTTAAAGAATCTTTTAAGAAATTTGCTATAGTGACTAAAAGGTTGTATTTCTTTTACCCCCACCCCCTCTACCTCTTTCCAAGAAATAATTCCTGCTAGTCTTTGGAAATGTTATTTGGAACAGGAGTGTACCTGTTGTTTTGACATGGGAATTACAACCTAATGCTGCTCACAACTTGGGCATTCTAGGTTTCGCTTGGTTTGGTCTTTGAGGCAGGAACTCACTATAGAGTCGAGTCCAGACTGGCCTTGAACTCACTGTAGTCTAGGCTAGCTTTGAACTTGAAGCCATCCTCCTGCCTCAGCTTCTCTTACTGGCATACCAGGCCATGCATGTTCTTCTTGATTCCATCTTAATCTTATTATTAGCTGTGTGGAGTAGATTAAGTTCAAGGCTTCTGTTTTTTAAATGTATTAAAAATACTCATTTGAAAGTAAAATTATCCTCACCTGAGTTTGTATATGACAGCTACATTATATATATGTGTATTAACTTTGGTGTTTGATCTTTGACAGGTGGTTTTGGAATGTATGCTTAAAAAAGACCTCATTTATAATAAGGTCACTCCAACATTTCACCATTGGAAGATTGATGACAAGAAGTTTGGCCTTACCTTTCAAAGTCCTGCTGATGCTAGGGCATTCGATAGAGGCATTCGAAGAGCTATAGAGGATATTTCTCAAGGTAGATCCTGCTCATTTTTCTTTATGTGTTCATCTATTATGTGTGCTACAAGTCACCTCTCTTGAGAGTTGATACAAAGGAGTTGTGCTTAAACAAATCAGCTATAGTGTTATATAACCAGGCTTTGAACCCCAAAATAGGTAAAATGAAATAATGGGCTCTTTAGCCACTTTTTATTTGTGAAATAACAGTGCTTAGCAGTTGTATCTAATATTTGGAAAACCCATAAAAAGGGCTTGAGGGGGAAAAACGGTTTGAAGAAGAGAGAACAGTAGAGTAGAGCTGTCAGAATTACATTGTGGTATTCTGTGTGTGCAGGTGTTGTCAACCACACCTTATCCTTGGTAATTAGATAAAAGAAGAATCTGTAGTACTTCATGTATAGATAGATAATTCAGGGGCAGAAGTCTGGATTACATGGCTGAGGATTGTGACCATAACCCCATATATTCTTTCCGTATCCTGCCAGTTTGTTAAGATATTTAAATCTAAAACATGTGAGATTTTCGAGGAAGGAGTCATTTTTACTTAAGATGGGCTGTACTTAGAGACAAAACAAAATAACATTAAAGTCCATTTCTTTGCAAAAAAAAAAAAGGAAAAATAACATAAGATTTGTTTTTGTTTCTTCAAATTAGGCAGGAAAATAACACTACAGTCCACAAACACCCGGTACTGGGAATTGAACCCAGAGCCCTCACATTGAGCTACATGCCCCAACTCTTGTTTCCAGGTTAGGAGAAAATCTCATTGAATTTCCTAGTCTGGACTCAGAGTTTGAATCCTTCTTGTGCCATCAGTGCCAGGCCGAAAATACTCTTAATTAATAGAAATGATTATATCAAATAACTGATTAAAATGCATTAGATTACAGTGCAATGTGTATGTTAAGATGGTGTTTTATATAAGAATTTGGAGAAAACGAATTATGAGACAAACCACTGGCAAAAACAGGGAGATGGTATACAATGTAGGCTTCCCACATACTGGTTAACTGCTGTACCACCAAGCTGCCTTCCCAGCCCTTTTTATTTCTAAGAGATGTAATCTTGCTAAGTTGCCCAGGTTGCCCTCAAACTTGGAAATCTCGTGCGTTAGCCTCCTGCGTAGTTAGTGTTACGTACATGTGGCATCATGCCCACCTCAAATATGTTTGCTACTGCATGAAACGGGTTAAATGACGTAGCTGTTATACCTTAACCACTTAACAGTTTACCCTGGGTGTCACTTGGAAAGTATGTTCATTGATGTACTTTCCCGAGCATTGATTTCAATGTTGTATTGAATAAATTTGAAAACAAATGACTGTTGTATTATCCTATAAAAATTAAATGAAATTTATCATGAGATAATAGTTACTTCATGTTTATTATGAGACAATATTACTTTAAAAATAATTAGAAATTTACCCAGAGAGGAAGGAAACCATTCATGCTTTATTCTTTATTATAGCAAAGGAGCAAATGCAAGTGGTCAGTATCCGACAGCGTTGTCTGGCGGCCAGGAATAATCTCTGATCAGTTTTTGAAAATATTTTAATAATATAATTAATCATTAGTATTGAAATATAAGGTGAAAATTCTGTGCTTAATTAACTTTTGCTTGTTTTCTTAGGATGCCCACCATTGAAAATTGAAGCTGAAGGAACAGAAGATGACATACAAGTAAGTAATTTGACTTGAAAAGAATTTCTGAAAGTAAAGGATATGGAGGAAATCTCTGAGCTTTAATGAGGAACACATGAATCATTAGCAAAGGGAGACACTGTATTTGTTTGAATTTTCCAGAGAAGCAGAAGGAATATGTAGAAAGAGTATTTTGTTTTGGTTTAATTTGTTTTTAAGGAATTAGCCCATAAGATTATAGAGAGAAGGTAGTCTGAAATCCACAGAGCAACAGATTCTCTCCCAAAAACAGGCAAGAATTTTACAGAATTTGCAGAAAAGAAATGCAAATTGCTGATAAGTATATGATTGCCACTAGTTTCAGTTCATTTTAATAATCAGGCAATATAAATTAAAGTAACAGTTTTAGTTACCAAGGGTTTATCAAAAGTTTATAAAAAGGTACTGTCCCATGGTGTCAGTGTCTGTCTGTGAGGTGAGTAGATTGAAGCCTTGCTGGAGAGAACACAGATTGGCACTCGTTTTTTCTAGAAAATAGGGTTTTTTAAGTATGCATTAAGACTTAAAGATAAATAGACATGTACTTGTTGGTCTAGTGATCCAGTTTGCTCTAATGTATGAAAAGGAAGTGAGAGATACAAAAGTTTTTATGCATGGGTTTAGTTTTATGTGGAGATACATATTTGAATATTAGTTGATGATAAAAATGAGGAACTATCTAAATAGCAATCTAGTGATGACTCTTTTTTTTTTCCTTTTCAAAGTTTTATTGATAAACATATAGCAATGAGACAGTTTCAAATCAAATCGAAAGTACAGTTTCAACAAATAATACACTGCATATATTCTTCTTAGTGGTTAATTGCTGTACAAGATGCAGACTTGTGATCCTACTTACAAACACCATTAGAAAAAATCATTCTATTCATTAAGAGAATGCAACTATATATCTATCCCAACCACTTTGAATACACAGATACAAAATGGACATTCATAGTTATACCCCAATTTTTTTTTAAGTTCCGTTGTTGAATATTATAGGTGTGTAAACTCAGCAAAATATTCTAAAAGAGTACAGAAGCCCATAATAGCATTGGGTCTTCTGTTTAATTGGCAATGTCAGAAATTATTGACGTGAGTCCCCCACAGCTCAACATAACAACATGGCTTTACTTCCTATATTTCATCTTCATACTTTTCTACTGGATGGTTAAGACCAAGGTAAAGCAGAACCTATGCAACAAGAGTTGTAGCTTTTTGGTTTGAGAAGGTCAGTGAAATGCCCTCAGGATTTATCCTGAGATCCTGTACCTCAGATTGTAGAACCTTTGTCAGTGCAGCCATGTGGATGAGTCACGGCCACTGCTTGGCCAATGTGCTCTCTGTGAAAGCCTGAGAGAGTGTCTTCTCCCCATGTGACTCTCCTTAGGCACACTCCACATCATCGATCAATTTCCTCTTTGGCCCCATAACCTTCTTGATCAGAAAATCTGGGACACTACCGAGGTACATGACGTTACAGTACAAGTTCTCATATGTCCTGAGTCTTGATTGACCTTAGAAGGGTAGGGCCAAAATATTGGCTTTCCTTGTAGCCCTCCTTTTTCTCTAATTTTGGTCTGCAAACTTAGGTTGTTAACCATCCAGAAGACAAGCTTATTGTTATTATCAAACGATTTACGTTATCAAGCTTAACCTCACTATTTCACTACATTTCAAACATCTTAGGCATAATAAGGAACAGGTATTTTTCATCAAGTATTGATATGTTGAACCTTAAGTCCCTACATAATATGATAAAGAACATTTAAAAATTAGATTATATTTTAACAATAGGATAAAGAATTCTATGCTTCTCATGTTTGCACATAAGTCCAAAAATCTCACCATATACAACCTTGAAGCAGGACTGTCCCACTAGTGATGACTCTTACGCAGCTCTTAGAATTTTTTTGTTTACCAATTTACTTGCAATAGAGGGAGCAATTGAAAACAAAAATTACATGTTGTTAACCATATTACCTACAATGGTAAATGTTTTTGGATTGTGTGATTTTGAGCTGTATAACTTTCCTTTTAATAGTTTTCCACGTTTTTCATATTTCGTGCAATCAACATTCATCCCTTGATAGCCATAAAAGAACCTGAATCTCTATATAAAATTATGATCGAATAACATAGCAAAATATTTTGTGTGCAGTTTGTGTACACAGTTGCTTATTTTAATACTTTCCTTAATCAGAAAATAAAAAATGGTCACTTTAGAAAATTTGAGATACATAACAATATTTAAAGAAAAATTTAAAAATTTAAAGTTAAAAATTTTAAATTTAGATTTTTAAAAAATTTAAAAATCTCTGTGAGGAATAGTGGCTCACACTTGCAGTCCCAGCCACTCAGAAATCAGACACAGGAGTATTTCAAGTTTGAGGCCAGCTTGGACAGCATAGCAAGATCCTGCCTAAGAAAAACAAAACAAAACAACAACAACAAAAAAAAACAGCATGACTCTGTTACTATCAGTGATAACTTCCAAATGTTAAATTGTGGCCGTTAGTATTTTTTCATAAAAGTGTGTTCTGTAGCAATATCATTATACTACAGCCTGCATTTTTTTCACTTAAGTACATACTGATGTTTTCTGCACTCTTAAACATTTTATGAGTTTACAGTTTTTAACATTAGTTGTATTTTGAGTTGGTGTATCCTAAGTGTCCATCTTCTACTGTTTATTGAAGAATTATTATATATGTATATGAATATACTTATCAAGGGTCTCACTATTTAAGTATGGTGAGTTGCAGTTATGCAGATATAAGAAATATGTAATGCAAAAGGAATTTTTTTCAGTTAAATAATTTTATTGCTCCCTTTTGTTCTTGTAGCAGTCAAAACTGAGACAAGGGGGTAGGGGTAAGAAAATTCAGCTTAGGAAGGTAGAGTTTCCACATTTTAAATATTTTCCTTACCTAATGATTATTCATTTTAATATTCTTCTGATTTAGAGGGAAAAAAACCTGCTATAGGACATTAACAGGGGCAATACTTGGTAAATGTTGCGATTAATTGGTTTTGTAAGAATTGTCAGTTTTCATAACCAAGTTGACTGCTAGCACTATGTATTTTAAGGCTTTGGTATAGAGTGAAAAATAACACTAAATTTTTTCTGGTAACAAGTAGTAAAAAGTACCAACCAGGAAGAAGTGCTGGTAAAGACAAGTGCAGTAGGGAAAACAGTAAGAACAGATTTTCTGTTTTAGCTTCTTAGGAGCCCTGCTTCATATTAAGATATCTTTCCTCAGTTCAGCAATTTATCCACAGTCATATGCACCTGAAGGAGTTTTGTGTTAGCTTCACTGCACATTAAAATACTTGCTTAGATTTTAATATTCATAATAAAGTAGAAAACGTGTACTACTGTTAAAACAGTAGAAATTATTTATGATAGGTTTTTATTTCAGTACAGTTTCAGTAAAGCCAATTTTTCTATCAACTTTTAATTCTTTTTTTTTAATACTGTGTGTGAATTATAGGTAAATTCTCAAATGTTTTAATATTCTTCTTTTCAGTGGAATACAATCCTCCCATCTCCTGCTGTGTGTAGCACACTTACTGAGTTGTTAGATTGTAGGCTTTTCCAAGGGTAGATCGTAAAAGACACTGCAACTGCTGTCAGGAAGAGGTTGTGGGAATGTCCAGTTGCCCTGCTACAAGGCTGGCAAGCCGTTCACCATCCAGGTGGTGACAAGCTGTAGCCGAGTTAGTCTGCACCATCGTGGGAGCCCCACCTAGCTTTGTTGCTCCAAAATGTGTAACTCTTGGGAATGGAGATAGTCACAGTTGTTTGAAGCACACTAATTTCTTAGTAGTGGAGAGTAACTCATACCTGAGCAGAGGAAGTTTAGCTTGTCCTCAGTAAGAATGCTAGCAGCTTGTGCAGCCTCTAGAATGGAAATTGCAAAGCAAAGCTCTCGAGTTGACCTTAGTGTGTTGTGCCATTTAGTTTACAGTGTGTCCATTTTAGTTCATTCTTCTCTTGAAATGTATTGGAGGGTATAATGTATTCTAATTTATTTAACCGCTTTCTTAGGGATAAAGTACATCTTAAATTTCATAATTCACTTATGGGTTTGTCATAAATATTTTGAGATTATTTTGAGTACTGTGATTTAAGGCAGTGGTTATATTTATTTTCCTGATTATTGGTAAAGGCAACTAAAATGCCTTAAATGAATTACCCATTTAATTTTTTAATCCAGAGGAAGTACTGATTATGTTGTATTTAGACCATAAACTTTTTAACACATTAAGTGTTAGAGTAGAAATCTCCATTTTGGTTATTAATTAATTTATTCAAAATAATAATAAATACCATGAGTACCTGTCCTTTGCCAGCAGCTGCTGTCTGTTTGGAAACTTGCTGGAAACAGCATTTTGCGGGAGCATGTTGTTCCTTTAACTAGTAAGTCATCAGAAATCAGTTTTACTTTTTTTTATTTTGAACTTGGTTTTGAAGGGTTTCATAACAGGTCATCATTTGAATTTGAAATGTTTGTCTTGCTCGTCTTTTATAATTGTTACCTAGTATAGTACTGATATGGTATAAATCATATTTAGGAAGGTTTTTTTGAAGAAAAATTTTAAAACTAGGATTTTAAAAATACTTAGCCAGTATTAAAAGTATAAATGTTCTTTTTATTTTGTTTCTTTTATTTACTTATTTCTTTTACTATTTTAATGAAGCAATTAAGTGTTTTATGGGGGGGTTTCTTTTAACATTTTCACTGACAAAACAGAACATTTATAGTTCTTATTCTTCAGATATACTGGATTATAATAAGCTCACCTTGTAATAAGCTTGAGATTGTAAGAGGAAAAGACCTTAGATCTTTAAGCAGAAGAAAGATGAAAAACATGATTGATTGGAAGTGAGAAGTTGCCATATTTTCTTTCTGGTCAGTGAGAATTACTTGATCAATCTAATCTTTCTAAGAACTAGATAATGTTATTTCCAAGCAAAGGAAATGAGGCCATGGCTT